CCCACACTGCAACCCAGGACATAGGGTTTGGTTATTTTTCCTTCCTTGAAATTCAGTGGGCAGCTGGAGATCAGAGAGGAACATGAATCTTGTAAAGTGAATCCTGTGAGACTAATGAGGTTCTCATATACTTAATCCATCTTTAATGAACTGTTGTAAACGGGTAACAATTTTATAATTAAGTGTTCATATACTAATTACTTTATTTATAAATCCAAGGTGGGGAACTTCTCAAAATGGCTGGCACAGCCTAGCATTAACCTTCAGGAGATTACTGTCTTCTCGTGAATAAAACCAGTCAGAGCAGCGTCTGCTTATCCCTCCCCGTCACCGTAAATTGCTGTGAGGTACACTTCTATGCAGCTGTTTCCCAGGTGCTTTGCTAAGTTTAGAGGAATGATTATAGCTTCTGCAATACTGCAGACATACTGTTACCTTCAGTTTCTACCCTTACTGTAACGTGACTGTGGTTAAAGGTGTGCGACAGCATTTCTTTTTCCCCTGGCAAACCTCCAAATGGGAATGTGTCTGTATAAAACCATGTTTTTTACTTTTACTGTTTTTAAATTGCAGTTCTTCAGCTGGTGGAGTAGTTACAACGAAGCTATCAACTACTTAGCTACAGTGCCAAAGTACCGTATACAAGCTACTGAGATTGCCAGGCAACAAGGTTTACTCAACAAGAGTAGAGAAAAAGGCAAGAACAGGAGGTCTAAAGAAGAAATTCGTGAAGAAGAGGAAGAAATTATCAAAGACATTATTAAAAATAAAATAGATATAAAGGGTGGTTATCAGAAGCCCAAGATATATGATATCCTTCTATTTCAGATCCTGCTTTTTCCTTTTTACTTGTGCAAAAATATAGGTTGGTACTGTCGGTGGATTTATTGTTTCACTATTAAAGGGCAAGAGTATGGTGTGGAAGAGAAGCTGTATATCATACGAAGGTACATGAAAATGTCGCAGTCTCAGTTTGACAGCCTAGAAGATCATCAAAAAGAGACCTTTCTTGAACGGCAGCTGTGGATACGAGAAAACTATGAGGTGGGTATCCCTGGTGGAAAAATTAATGCTAGTTATCCAGCGCTCCCAGAGTAAAGAACAGCCGTTTGGTGAAGGTGCTTGGGATAGGGCTGTGCAAAGCATTGCTTCCACTTCAGCTATTGCTTTCTAAATTGAAAACTGTTAGACAGCCATTCAGCATGCTTGCTTGGACTTCTTATGCATGTGGACTGGTCGACAACAGCTCCTGACCATGCCCATGGGTATGGGAAAGGATTTGCACAGTCAGAGGACATTTGTGTATGTGTACAAGACTGAATTTAAGCTGATGAAAGGCTTCCTTATCACCATGTGGTATGACAAGGTTGTTACAATAGGTTGAAGACTGTTCTCTGTTCTCTAAGCAGTAGTAATTCGTGGTAAGAATTACCTCGTTTGTCGGGAACTCCTATTTTATCAGTCTGCTATGCCGTTAATTCCTAGCTTGGGTTTTGGGGTTGCATGTGGCTTTTTGTTGTTGCCTTTGTTTTGTTTTGTTTTCCCGACTGTCACTTGATAGTTCTTTGGACTTCAGTGAGTCAGGGACTGTTCTTGCAGTGCCAAATACCTATTCAAGTAAGGACGGCATAAGAAATGCTGTTGGGCATGACTGCTGCTTTTGCCATGGATAGCCAGTTACTATATAGTCAATATATAGTTTTTAAGCTTTCTGTGAGAGAAGTGGAAGAACATTAGCCACAGCATGGAATTTGCAGTCTAGAATGATTTGGGATGCTGGGACATTGCAGATTGACCAAACACTTTTATTGTTCCACAGAGGTGCATCTGTGGGCCATCTGGGCAGGAGGTTTCTCGAGAAAAACTGACAGTACAAACTTAAGGCCTGCTTAAGGGGCAGAGGAGCTGTTGCTGCTGCTCTGCATATGCTGAGAAAAGAAATGGGATGGTGGCAGCACACCAAAGATAAGAGAATGCTTCAAAAGCAGACAGGGGTGGATTACTCTACAAGCTTGAGCAGGAAAAGAGTACAATAGATGCCAGTGTAAGGAAGGGATTGGCTGACAGGTACATATACATGTTCAGTTAAGATGACTTTTCTAGAAGACAACCTGGAAGTCCAAAGATCAAGGATTGCTCCTAATCAAAACAGATGTCATATAGAAAAGGTAAAATAAGATGGGTATCGTGTTGTAGAGAACAAAATGTCATGGTTTCTGATCAATGGTGCTTCTAAATAGTGGTGTTTTGGTCACCGAATGTAAAAGAGCTGTATTTGCTGCAAAGGAAGTCTGTTAACCCCACACTTGTCTCTTGTGGTGACCAGCAGTTGATACTCAGTGACAAAGGTGCACCTGTGTAGTAATATTTACCCAATATAATTTGCAGCTTTGGGACTTCCTGTGAAGGAAATGGTGTCTTTGTAGGTAACTGCTTCAATGAATTTTTCTTTAATAAACCTACCTAGTCACTTGAATGCATTAAAGCTTTTAGTGTCTGCTGTGCCATCTGGTCGTGAGTTCATCGGTGTGAGTTTTTCAAGCCACCCAGACTCCTGCTTGTTCTAGTATTACTGGAAATGGAGAATCATCGTGCTTTATTCTCTTCTTGTGTTACCTGTGCTCTTGGGTACCACTACCATATACTTACCTGAGACTTTGTAATGTATTTTCTAGGGCAAAAAATAGGCTCTGAGTGTTTCTCCCCAAAAGTTTCTCTGTTCTTTGATCATTGGAGATGTCTGTCTGCATATTGTTCAGTTTTCTAGTGCTCTTTCAGGATGGGAAAGCCCAAGAATTCAACACATGGTCACATCATGGAGCTCTACAATATTTTTCCTGTTTCCTGATGATTCATAAAACCTCTATGATCACTGAACGCTGAGCTGGTGTATTTATGTAGCCATCTATAATTTAAAATCTTGTTCATGCACAGTGCAGTGGAACCTTAAATTTAATTACTTTCTCAGTCAGAAGAAGTCAGATGACACCAATGTGACATAAACATGTATGGTATTGAGATTTGTGCTGGCTGTACCTACGTAAACTGACTTCCAGAATAAAAATGCAGATGCTGTTCCTTTTTTTTTTGTTTTTTTTTAAAAAGATAATTAACTTTGCTGATAACTGTAGATTTCATTACAATGACACCATTTCTTAATGGAAAGTAATTATTTGTCATTTGGTACCACAAGTTCTTGATGCAGTGATATGAACTTTGTTGAGAGCCTTAATTAGAAAGAAAAAGTTCCATAGCAGTATTCTATTAGCTTATGAATGCATGAGCATCTATTTCTTTAGCAAAAAAACGTTTTGGAGCTTGCGGCACTGTGACAAGAAAGTAGTTCTGCTCTCCGCAAAAATGCAAAGCACCCCTACAGCAGTAGGGTCTTGGGCTGCAGTCACTCCATCGAGTACTTGTGTTGTCCAGAGTCTGCTTCTGTGTTCAGTTCAGTCTTCTCTAAGAACAATAAGCTGGCAGATGGTTGAAGTACAAACGCTTACACCCCCTTGAGGCTCCCTTAAGCTGTTTCTTCAGCTGTATTAAAAACTTCTGTCTGTCTATCAGGTCTATAAACGAGAACAAGAGGAGGAGTTAAAGAAGAAGATGGCCATGGATCCACGATGGAAGAGATACCGGCGGTGGATGAAAAATGAAGGGCCTGGAAGACTGACTTTTATTGATGACTGAAAGTTGCTGAATAAAAATGTATGCTAATGTTGAAGGTGATTTGCAAAACTTTTCATTACGTCATTCAGAGTTTTGTCTGCTGTGGCTTAGCAGTTATCTAAAACTCAGGAATTATTAAATCAGGCTGAAGCATAATACAGGTTTACCGTTTTTAAAAACCAGACCTATTAAACAGGCTCAGCTCAATGTATATATGCCATTTACTTGGGGATCTCAGTGTGGAATTCAGTATTCCAAACAATGTATTTTTGCTAGGTATTTCATACTCATGAGCAATGGAATCACAACACTAGTAGTCTTTCTGAAACTGTTTCTAGTTCAATTCTTGGCAGTCCTGTTTTTCCTCTCTAAACTGAAGGGTTCCTACAAATGGACACTGGAAATGGTTTATGAAGTATTCCGAAGCAAGGACCATGTTTTCCTCTGTTTCCTCCTACTTTTCGATCTTAATTTCTCAGATGCCAAATTGCTTCTTTTTGATGTAAACAATATGGGGATTATACCAGACTACTGCTATTTCTGATCCAGTTGGAAATGGATTTTATTCTTTGTGGGAATAAATGATGCATGATTGATCATCATTGTGATGCAAACAAGCCTTAATTCTTTGTTCTACAGAGTAATTAATGAAATAGTATGCTTAGATATTTTGTGTTTGTTTTTTCGTCTTCTACATTGGATTGTACCTGCTTGTTCAGAACAAGTGTACCAGTGAATATTAGTTTACTAAATGTGACATTTCTTTCACCAAAGTATCGGTTAAAAAGAAAAATGACCCTTTTGTTAAAAAGGGCAATTTTGATGCCTTATGTAAATAAAAGTTTATATATGCACACCGAATTTGTTTTAAATTCTAAATCTAAAGTATTCGCTGTTTATCTCTTCAGATCAGACCTCAGAGTACTCTAGAATAAATAGAATAAATAATGCATAACAGCACACTGTGGTTTCCTCTGTAACTCAGCCCAGGTCAGAGTTTCCATGATTTGCTGGTAGAAGGGATTCTGTTATCATCTTTCTCTTCAGAAATTTTACTAAGAGCAAATGGGGAGCAAATCCTTTCTCCTGTCCTTTATCACACCTGTAAAAGCAAGTTCCTCAGAAGGGAATTGCTAAAAGTGGTGCTCTCTCTTAACTGGCTTTTATGGAGATTGGTTCTCGGGCTGCAGCTACCGAACTTGCTACTCCTGCCAAAACCCATAGTAGCTAAAAGTTTTAAAATGCTTATTGATTGATTTTTGAAGCAAGAAGTTTTTGATTCTGCAAATGTGACCTCTCCTCATTCTTTACGGAAGGGTCTTCTCTATACTTCTTTTGCTAGCTTAACTTCTGCACACTTTTGGAATGTTGTCTCAGTTTTCTGTTTAAAAAACACACCATCAAAAGCATGATAGGTGTATTATGCTGACCCCCTGTACACAGCAGTGAAATTGAAGAGGAACTGCTAGATTTTTCTTTCAACTCTGCCAATTGTAGTGTAGCGATAAACTTAATTCACTTCCTGTTTAACGGTCAGTTCAAGTCTGAAAGTTAAAGCAGGTATGCAGAATAAGCTGTGTTTGCTTTCATGCAGTAGCCTTAGGGGCACTGCAAAGATGCTCATGAAGTGGGAGATTGCAGCTTGAGTTTATTGCTGCTTCATCCCCCAAAACACAGTCTCCTGCATGAGTGCAAGGGGGAAGATTAAGTTGCTGTGGTGGATAAAGGTAAGCACAAATAAAATGGTGGTGATTATTAGATAAGACAGTTATATCTAGAAAAGAACCAGGTGAGTGTCATGCAAGAGGATCTAAACCTGTGCTGACAGTTTCAAACACTTAACAGCTCTGCTGCTCTTTATCTTGTGCCTCATTTTGCTCCTTCTTTTCCCTCCCAAGCCAAGTATTTGGGTTATGCAAATATGCAGTCAAAACAGAGATCCGTTTTTCCTTTGTGCCTTCTTTCATTCTAATCAAGATTAATTTCCCGAGCTGATGCTACAGTGCGAAATCAGTGCCATGGAGGTACAGTCCCTGCGGAGGACAGAACTCTGTCTTTCAGTAGCAGTGTTTTGTCTCTAACACTGGCCTGATACCAAGTGAGTGGAGAAGTCAGCAGGTATCGTATAACCTGCTGGAAATGAGCCGTTCTGCTGGCTTAGCTTGGAGTTCCTTCTTTTCTCGACATGGGACCCCTATTAAAGTAATGAAATTCAGACATAAATTCATTTTCTGCAAAAAAAATTTGCTGGGCAGTGACACTGTGCTCACATCTCTGAAGAAGGATAGGAAAAACTTGCATCTTTAGAAAGCTGTTAGTGCAGTGACACCTTGTTAGCTGAGGCTACTGAGCATTTCTAGCATAACATCACTGTAGTTCTGAATGATGTCTGTCTTCTGGGCATAAATTTTCAGAGACTGCTGAGAGTTACAATATTATGCCTTGTGTAGATTGACTTGACTTCAGAGAGAAGTGTCTGCATGAACAAGTGTTGCTGGTACTGGGTAGTGGTGAGACAATTATGGAGAAAAGTGTAGCAAGGTAATAGGATCTTGGAGAAGAACCACCTTATCTCTTTACAAATTTTTTCGAAGAACTGTATCTGTTATGTAGCATGTATGTGCTTTCAAATATGTACCATCTATAAAGTGAAACATTTCATTCAATATGCAAGACATAGGGTGCAAGGGCCTTTCACATTCAGCCTGAGTCTTTTCCATGATTATGCTGAGGCTTTGACTGAAGCACAAGCATGTGCATGTCTGGTTGTACCTATAGAATCAGAATTGTTAACATCAAATCCAGCTGTCAACCTCACACCACCACCATGTTCACCACTAAATCATGTCCTCAAGTGTCACATCCATGTGACTTTTGACACCTCTGAGGAGGGTAATGCCACCACTTCCTTGAGCAGGCTGCTCCAATGCTTTACAACCCCTTTGATGAATAATTTTTTTGTAATATCTAATTTAAACCTCCCTGGTGCAGCTTGAGGCCCTTTCCTCTTGTCCTGTCAGTTGTTACCTGAGAGGCCAACCCTCACCTTGCTACAACCTCCTTTCAGGTAGTAGTAGAGAGCAATAAGGTCTCCCCTGAACCTCCTTTTCTCCAAGCTAAACAGCTCCAGCTCCCTCAGCCACTC